ATGGGGATTGTCCAATTCTGGAGTTGGTGGATTTGGGGTGGGGGCTAAACATATCCCAGTCAGGTTTGGGAGAGTGGGAATAGCTTAGTCTCAGGGTTAGGGTGTGCAGCTGGGCTGCAAATGCATACAGGCATTTTGGAGATTAGGTTTTTTGATCGAAGTTAGTTCACCTACTCAGGTGACCTAATTTAGATCAGGTATGCCATTTTTGGGTGATTTAATTCCTCTTCATACCTGTATAGTTGGACATTTAAAGTAACCTAACCCTGGTTACTTCAATCTAAATGTAAAACGTGTATGTACCTAGATGTCCTTACGTGTGGAGAAATAATAGCTGGATTAGTGGAAGTAGTGTAAAGTTATGCACCTACCATAGACCATAGGCCTATCTTTCCCAGTGTCCTCCTGTATCACACAGTGGCAGACAGCAGAGCCTGAAAGGGAGGGTAAACTGGGTATGACCAGGGCTTTTCCCACTGTTCCTCTATCACGTTCAGCCTCTAGCATTTAAGGTCTAGAAAGTTCTAATTCAGAGACTGTATCTCTAATTCCCATGCTCAAGAGTTATTGATATTCCTTTCCTCCAAGAATTTGTCCAATCCTTTTTTGAATCTGGCTAAACTATCAGCTTCCCAATGTCTGCTGGCAATGAGTTCCACACTTCAATAACACACTGTATGGAAAAAAAACCCTGCCTTTTGTTAGTTTTAAACTTACTACCTACTGTTTCATTTTATGACCCCTAGTTCTTGTATTGTGAGAGAGAGTAAATAATAAATCCCTATTTGCTTTCTTTTTACCATTTAGCATTTTGTAAACCCTTATCATGTTCCCCCAACCCAAGTGGCTCTTTTCTAAACTGAACAGGTCTAGCCTCTTTCATGTCTCCTTATATGGAAGCCCTCCCATACCACTGATCATCCTTATTGCTGTTCTCTGTACCTTCTTTAGTTCTTCCATATCCTTTTTGAGATGTGGGCATACCATGGATTTATTAAGGGGCATGATGATGCTTTCTGTTTTGTTTAAAATTCCTTTAATAATCATAGAATCATAGAAAATTATGGTTGGGAGGGACCTCAGGACTCAGGAGGTCATCTAGTCCAACCCCTTGGTCAAAGCAGGACCATCGCCAAGTATATTATCCCAGCCAAGGCCTTGTCCAGCCGGGTCTTAAATACCACCAAGGATGGAAAATTCACAACCTCTCTGGGTAACCTGTTCCAGTGTTTTACTACCCTCCTGATGAGAAAGTTCTTCCTAATATCTAATCACAACTTCCCTTGCTGTAACTTGAGTCCTCTTCTCCTTGTTCTGTCATTTTCCATCACTGAGAACAGCCTAGCTCCATTCTCTTTGAGACCCCCTGTCAGGTACTTGAAGCCTGCTATGAAATCCCTCTTTCAGTCTTCTCTTCTCCAAACTAAATAAGCCCAGTTCCCTCAGCCTCTCTTCAGAAGTCATGTACTCGACCCCCCCTAACTATTTTTGTTGTCCTCCGCTGGACTCTCTCCAATTTGTCTACATCCTTTCTGTAGTAAGGAGCCCAAAACTGAACACAGTACTCCAGATATGGCCTAACAAGTGCTGAATAGAGGGTAAGAATCCCTTCCCTTGACCTGCTGGCAACACCTCTACTAATGCAGCACAGTATGCTGCTGTTCACCTTCTTCCCAACAACGGCACACTGTTGGCTCGTATTAAACATTCCCCACCATAACCCTCATGTGCTTTTCTGCAGAGCTGCTGCTTAGCCAGTCGGTCCCCAGCCTGTACCAGTGCATGGGATTGTTCTGTTTTAAATGAAGGACTTTGCACTTTTCCTTATTGAACCTCATGATATTTTTTTTGGTCCAGTACTCCAATTTGTTGAGGTCTCTCTGAATCTTTGCCCTACCCTCCAGCATATGTACTACTCCCCACAAAGTAGTGTCATGGCTGCTGAGCACTGAGCTGATGTTTTAGCAAACTGTCCACAATGACTCCTGGATCGCTTTTTTGTGTGGTAACAGCTAGTGTAGGTTCCTAGTGACCTAGGAAATGACAATTCTTATATCCTTATGTATGTATCCCCTCCTTTGATGTATGTGCATAGCCGTCAACACCATTGGGACTTTTGGTGTTGCAACTGTGTTTGCTCATTCTTTGAGTACTTAGTCCATCATTCTTTTATGTACAAGCGCAGATGCTTCAGACCCCAATATGTAATTATCTAATTGTGTGTATGTATTGATATAATATCCAGCTAATTATTGTAATGTTATTTGTCTAGACACCTGCTACATGTTTACTCTTGCCTTAAAATATATATAAATAAAGCTTATAAATGAAAAAAGTGTATGGTGGTTTGGATTTCTCAGTAAAAAAAATGATTGATTACATAAAATAAGTCAAATATTTGATGCTGCTAGCATTGTTTGGTCTATAGATTCTAACAACTCACCAAAAATCTTAAGTGAATTGGATTTGGGTATATAATTATCTCTGGACAAAATCAATAAAGCTACTAGGAAAAAACCCAACAACAACAACAAAAAAACAAAGACAGTGTATTCTTGTATATAAGAATAATTGGTTTGATTGTACTTGTGATAAAAGAGGATTCACATACTTGAGAACTGGATGGAAAAGCCTGACTTGCTGATGAAGAAGTCACTGTCAAACTGTAACGTCAGTGAATTGAAGGTGCTATGAATATCTTCTGGAAGGGCAGAACCACTCCATTCTTTTAGAAGAATACTGCTTTCAACAGGACCATCCCACACCTTCAGGATGTCATGAGCAACCTCAGTGTCAAAAACAATAAAATGCAGACTGCAAAAGAAGAAAAACACATGAGACATGCACTGTATTTTATAGCATAGTCATGTTTATGAAATTTACCTTTGTCTTCTTTTTTTAAGAGATAAGAACTCTGACTTCTGATATGAACCAAGACTTCAACTATGTTTGTTAGGCATTACATCAATTTCTGCTCAATTACAATAAAATATTTTCAGCTTACTATCTCAATTTCCACTAGGTGGTAGCATATATATCACAACAAATCCTGTCAAAACTGAATGTGGGTTCCTATATGGAAAAAAAAAAAATCTTAAATGATTTTATGTATGTATATGTCAAAGTGATATAAGAAAAAAATGAAACAGTACCAAATATGTTGTAAATGTGTTGTTTTATGCAGTAGAACTTATGTTAAGTACACTATTTAAAAGTGTCCAAGTTGTATGCATTTGTTTTTATTCAGAGCCACGTTATGCCACCCTTAAACTCTTTCTAAGGGAAATGATTTTTCACTTCCTTACTCAAGAAGGAATATTCAGAAGTCACAAACTGGTTTTTAGAAAAGTCCTGTTCGACACTGCTCCCCTCCCCTCCTTTTCTACCTAGCTTTGCTGCAGCATAAAAGGGGCACAGAACTCTTTCAAAGTCCTTCACTGAATCAATTAGTATAAAAGCCTCAGGCTCCTTCATCTGCCACTCTTTCTTCTCATCACTATGCTACAAGAGTACACTTACTATTTGTACCCATACACCTTTCAAGATTGTGTGTCAACGTCAAGGTTTTGTACAGCCAATCTTTCTGTTTTCATTTTCTCCTTCTCCCCACATAGTCTTCATGCTTACAGCCTTGTTACACCTTATGCTGAGCTACACAAATGTTGCTCATTGTTAGTGCTGGCTTGGAGTTTGGAGCAGTCATATATTTAGTTTAGAAACTTTCTCTGTCTCCCACCTGCACAACTGTGACTTACCACTAAAGGCCTGCTGAGCAAAGGTGGCAACTCAGGAGCTGTAGCTCTGAGTTGCCACTAGGGGGCAGGTGAGCCAGGAGAGGCTTCTATCCCTGCTCTACAAGCTGGGGTGTGAGAGATCCTGGGACACTGAAGGACTTCAAATTGGATGGCACATTTTTGGGGAGTGGCCACACCTTAATGGAACAGTAGCTGGGTAGTGTAGATCAGAGATAATCCTGCCCTGGGGTGGTGTAGCTTTGAGTTGCACAATGAGTGCTTAAAACCATTTTTGGATGTGCAGACAATCCAAGTGTTAAGAGCTCCAGGAGCTACAAAACTACCATTTTTCAACGCCCTTATCTACAGTCTTTCTTTTTCTCCTTTTTCATGTAAATGAAAGAAAACAAAAGACATTCATTATTAAAACGCATGTATTAAACACCAATTACAAAATCAAATAATCATGTTTGCATGATTATTTGGTCCCATGCAGACCAGAAGTGGCCAACTTGTGGCATGAATGCTAAAAGCGGCAGACAGCTTCTGTTTGTGGCACTCCAAACCAAGGAGGGGACAGGCAACACAGCAACAGATAGGGTAGGAAACAAGAAGCAGAACAGATAAGGCAAGGAGCACAGTACAGGAAGGACAAAGCAAAGCAGCAGATTGGGCAGAAGAAGGAAATTAGAGTGGCACATAGGAAGGGTGACGAGACTAATTTGTGGCATGCCTGCCAAAAAGGTTGGCCCCCAACAAAACTGAATTACAGTTAGCTAGACATTTGCAGCCTCTTATGTAAAAACTTGACTTTGACAACAGCTAATGTCCTTTCCTTGACTCCATCAGTGAAGACAGTGTTGAAGCTATAGGTGGAACAGAATGCAGTTATTCATCTGATTAATACTATTAGTCACAAGGATTCATAGATTCATAGATGTAGGGTTGGAAGGGACCTTGCAGATCTTCTAGTCCAACCCCCTGCCCTGGGCAGGAGAGAAAACTGGGCTCAAAAGACCCCAGCTAGGTAATCGGATGATGTTATACCAGGATTCCAGGAACTGCTTTAGTGTTTATTCACTTCCTAGCACAGTTTAAAGTGTTAACTTTTATCTAATGATAATCCCCTTCAGACATGACTGTAGTGCCATACTAGCCTGTAGAGTGCCTAACAATCTTTGAGGGGTTTGGGTTGTAGCCATGTTGGTCTAAAGACATAGGCAGACAAGGTTCCTTGGGTGAATTTGCTATCTTTTATTAGACCAACCCAAATGGTTGGAGAACAGTTATTAAGCAAGCTTTCGGGTTCAAAAACCCTTCGTCAGGCTAAGGAAGCTTCAGCAGTTGGTGTGTGCTATTCTTGGATGGAATAACAATCTTTGAACTATTCAAAGAAAAGTACAACAGTAACAACAACAATCACCTGGAAATATTGATTTCAGATGACTTTGGATAAGACCCTAATATGTTTCTTTGTCTTAGTTATCACTTACAGAGCAATTAATAATCTGGTAAAGGTTACAAATTCATACTTTATAGGCCAGAAAAAAAAATAAAGATCCTTAGTGACATTCTTTACTACTTTCTCTTTACTTTTACTATATCGATAGTTTCTCAAAGCAATAAACTCCCTGAAAAAAACCCTCTTTTTAAACTTGCACAGTATTTTATTGTATCTAGTATTAGTCCTTTCTATGAGTTTAATCCAAGAGTGACCACTAGACCATCTAGTCTGACATCTTATATATTACACCCCATTACATTCCATTTTATTATGGCAGATTGAGCTCGGGAATTTGTATTTAACCTAAACACAATTGTTAAATTCAGTCTAAGTGTATACTGCATAGAGATTTATGAGGCTTCTTCTTCTCTACATAGAGATTTATGAGGAACACTCTTCTTCCCTCCCTTTCATTATAAAAGAGGAGGTGCTACTTTGGGGACCTTCCACAATATGCATTTCCTTAGCATGTTAATAGACTTCAGTCTTTGAAAGAGAAATATGCTTGGTTAATGACACTGTCTTGTATGTACAGTTAAGCATACACCTAATTGTGCAGGATCAGAGCCTAAGAAAGGGAAAAGCATTCAGCTATAAAATATGGCTTTAAAATAAATGTTACATTAAATAACTTATCTATAATTTTATTTCTGTTAATGTACAGTAAGTTCTTTCCACCAATATATTTCTACTGTGCTGATATTGTTCAAGTCAATTAATTCAGTTCTTCAGTAAGTTAAAAAAAATGGTTTGTGCAAAGTTTTCCAATCAAGTGCAAATACAGGTAAAATAGAGACAATGTACAGTCAGGATTATAAAAGTGCAACTTGTAATGCTAGTTGCTAACATATAAAAATGCTTACATTGTTACCTCTGTTATCTGTGTAGTATTATCTCTTTAAGGGATTAGTATTGCTATACTAAAGAAACATTTACAGAGAACTTCAGGGTTAGATAACCCTTATATCTTTTAGTGTCTTTTTATCAAAAGATACAGTTGGTACCATTTCTTTACAGTATAATTAAATATACTGTAATTAATTACAGCATGATTACTTTATAATGCTATTCTTTTCTAAAGAACAGGCCCCAGCACTAGAAGATCATGCACTGATACCCAATTATCATAATTTCTGGGAAATTTAAGGTAAATATTGTGTTAAAATAGGATCCTACTCCACAGAAAGTTAAACGTATGACACTGAAATGCCAAATATATGGATACTAGATAGGAAAGAGACAATCACAAGAGACAAACAGATTTAAATTCCTTAAACAGAGCCTGCAGGTTGTTTTCTGTTTCTCCTCTCACAATTCAACAAGACTTTGACATAACACACTTTACAAGTGTTGCCAATACACACACACACACACACACACACACACACACACACACATATATATATATATATATAAATAAAAGTGACAGACTCCTCAAATATCTGTCAGAGGTCTTTGAAGCAGGAAAACCTCCTGCACCTGAACAAAAACATATTAATTTGGGAACCTGAGGGAGAAGTTCCCATCTGCCACCATAACAAGGAATTGTACAGAAGAGTGTAATGAAAAGCATTTGAACCAGCATGTTAGAAAAAATATTGTGCCCTGTTTCAAGCTAGGATGAAATGGGTACTTTGGAAACTAGAAGAATTATGACATAACTTGTAGTCTTGGGGTTCAAATTATTAGCTTTATTTTATGTTACATCATTTCTTTTACTTGACAATAATATGAACTACTCTATTTCTGGGCCCAAATCTGTAAATTTTATACCTGTATTTACAAGCAAGGTAGAAAGAAGTTCTCTCAGCAACTACAAGTTATTCTAAAATCTGGAAACATGAACATATTCTCAGTGACCTGAGGGATACTAAATTCAAGAAAAGAGATAGATTGAACTGAAGCATTTATTCTCATATTATATTCCCATCCACAGCTGGGAAGATCCTCACCTGCATTCTCCTCAATAGACTCACTTTCCTCACTGAGGAGGTTCTACCCAAGTTTCAATGTGATTTCAGACCATTCAAAGACAGCTTCAGGAGAAGTGCTGCAAACTTTAAATGGTCTTCATTGACCTAAGTCTTTTGATTTAATCAACAGAAAGGACCTATAGAAGATCCTGATGCGATTTGGATAACTGTTAAAATGTGTTACCAACATCAGATTTCTTCATGACACCTGACAGCAACTGTCCTAAGTGATGGCTTGGAAATTGATTCTTTCATCATTAGAAATGGAATGGGGAACAGTTTGCACGTGGCGGCCGCTGCCACTATCCACCACTCTGCATGGTTGCTGCTCTGAGTGCTGCCACCGCCACAGCTCCCCCTCCCCACCCCCCACCAGGTTATTTCAGATAACTGGAGATTTATATAACTGGCAATCCCTTTACCCTATGGATGCTGGATAACACAGATTTTACTGTACTTGAGATACTTGAGCACTGAGTCACTTCCAACAATGCCATGATGTACAACAAGGCAATAATCAATTTGGGTGTAGACAGAAATCCACCTTCCAGTTGTAACTCATAACATTTTCTGTGGTGTTCTGAGTCACAATGTTACCCCAGA